AACTGCTGAGCGTGAGATTAGCAGCCTGATTTGTAACCACTATACTACCAGATCTCCTTTCATCAATGCCTAAATCTTTGTTTTTCATCAGTGCCTCCAATGTACTTTGGACCTCTTCCTTCAGTACCACTGGTTCTTAACTATATGCTACCTCATGAATGGTTGTTTTGTTGTTGTTGTTGTCATGCGCCATGGAATCGGTTTCAATTTATAGCAACCCCTGTACAGGGTTTCCAAGGCTGTAAATGTTTATGGGAGCAGAAAGCCTTATCTTTCTCCGGTGGAACAGCTGGTAGTTTCGAACTGCTGACCCTGAGGACAGCAGGCCAATTCATAACCACTATGCTACCAGAGCGCCTCATGAATGGTTGAGCACCATTCAATTCTTGTTGGTACTGTGCCTGCATATTCCTTCCATCTTCTTTTGAAGTTTTCTGCATCATACAATATTTTACCCGTTGTTGTTACTGTTAGGTATTGTTGAGTTAGTTCTGACTCACAGCGACCCTCTGCACAACAGAACGAAACACTGCCTGGTCCTGCGCCATCCTCACATGTGTTGCTGCTGCCACTGTGCCAATCCATCTTGTTGGGGGTCATCCTCTTTTTCCGCAGACCATTCCACTTTACCAAGCATGAAGTCCCTCCTGGTATTTTAAATACTGGTGGCATAGATTCAACCATCACAGCAACACAAAAGTCACCACAGTACAACAGAGTGACAGATTAGTGGTGGTCTGACTCATTGTTTCTGTTGTTGTGAAGTGCAGTAAAGTTGGTTCTGACTTATAGCGACCCTGTATAGGTTTTCGGGGGAGCAGCCGGTGGGTTTGAACTGACAACTTGGCAGTTAGCAGCTCAAAGCCTAACCCACAGTGCCACTACCAAGGATGATATTCAAATAGTTAATGGCCTATAAGGTACCTGTGCTATCCAGGTAGAGTTTTGGAGGTATCCTACTGTGACGAGCGGTAGCTATGGTTGCTGAGGAAGAGGGGGAAACTTGAAGTGGATAAAGGAGTTAACAGATGAGCCTCTGCTCTGTATTATTGGCCCAGAAAACACTGGCAAGTACAATCAAGGAGGTCTGAGCTACAGCTCCTGCTGGCACAGTTTCTGGACTCCCATTTCTGGCTCTGTATCTTTGCTGTTGTTAGTTAGCTGCCCTCTAGTTGACCACGGACCCATGGCAGAGCCATGCACAACAGAACAAAGCATTCCCCTGTCCTGTGCCATCCCTATAATCAGTTGTAGAAAGGACAGTTGTATTCATAGGGTCTTGCTCGTCTGTCTTAGTCTGGAAGTTGTACTGAAAGCTGTTCAACATTAAAATAAAATACAAGCCTCTACTTCCACTGACAGACAGGTGTTGGCTGTGCATGAGGGGAACTTTCTATCTGTTCATCTCCTTTACCCACTTACTTCTACCTCCACTGACCTCTATTTCCAAGGAACCACTACTGCCTCATGCTGCACCTTTATATCGGGGAAATGAACTGGGCCAGAAGCTGAGTTTTCCATCTTTGTACCCCCTGACTTCTCACATGATTTAGCATGTGTCAGAAATGGAATGCAAATGGAAGGGGAGAGGGAAGGTGTGAACATTGTGGGGCAGGTGCAGGGTGGGGAGTGTGGGCGCTCTAAGCCTGGAGCTCTGGCAGGCTTCTTTGTAAGTCAGCTGGTGTACTTTTGGTGTTCCTGCCTCAGGAAATACAGGAATCATAACTCCTTCTGCTTTTTAATTCCACTCCTCAGAAACCCTATACAAGGTCACTGTGAGTTGCAATGCACTTAACAACAACATATGATTTGAGTAAGGTCCTTGGGCCTGCAATGTGCTCCACTCCAAAGGCTGGCAATTCAAACACATCCATTAGCACCTTGGAAATAAGGCCTGCCCATCTACTTCAGCAAAGATTACAGCCCAGGGAGCAGTTCTACTCTGGAACACATGGGATTGCCAAGAGCAGGAGATGGTCAGCTATAAAACTGAGAAAATTCACAAACAACCTTCAGAAATGAACCAGGATCGATAACAGCACAGAAATTTAATAGTAATAAAAATAACAAAGTTATAGCAAATGATGGAAATGGTATCTGGATCTTGAAGTAAATGGCTAGCAGGTCACATTTCTGGAGATCAGTGACTCAAGAAGAGACCTTTTCTCTGTTCCCCCATTTCACTCTTCACAAAGGGCCTCTGGTCCTTAAGACTGGAAGCTGCGGGCAGTGGGCACAGTCTAGGCGTGGTGATCTAAGGAAAGCCTCTCTTTCTACAACATCCCTGCATATGGGACCCACTGCACCCATCCCATGTATCAGCTAAGAGTGGGGACTTTATTTTTTATTTTTTTAATATACATAGAATCACGGGCAGAAGCTCTGCAGCTCCATGGACCTGTAGAATGAAAAGACACAAAAGGAGACATTCAGCTATGAGTCTCATGCTGGGGCATGCCTGCTCCCAGTGCAGAAGGGTTCTCCTAACTGCTCCCACTGCCTGCCCAGTCCCAATGCACAGGACCCCAGGTTGGGTCGCCTCACAGGTCCTGACTGTAGAAGGTGAGCAGGTTGGGCCAGTGCAAGGTCTCGAGAGCCAAATAGAGCACTGCTCTGACATAAAACTTTCATCTCGGATAGAACCTCTCTGTCAGAGGGCAACTGCTCATGTAAGTAAGCAACGTGAGAAAAGCAGAATTCCATTGGTCCAGGGCTGCCTAACCTATTAGGCAGGCTTATAACCAATCACGAGCAGGAGGGAGTCTGATTTGGAAATTCTTCCCTGGAGACCCCAAATCTCCATCACTCTTTCTCCTTCTTTTCTCTGCTGGCTTTCTTTTTGCTTATGATGACTGAACCAGTTTGACACATCATTTCATGGCCCCCTCCTTGCCTCTGGTGTCCTAGGGTCATACAAAGGGTTAAATGCCTGACTACTAACTAAAGAGTTGCAATTCATCCAGAAGTGTCTCCAAAGAAAGGCCTGATGATCTAGTTCTGAAACCGTAGCCACTGGAAGCTCTATGGCTCATGGTTCTTCTCTCTGACACACGGGGTTGTCATGAGTCAGACTTGACTCCATGGTTACTGGTTTCCTGTTGTTTTTAGCCGTGTCACTGATGTCATCTTGTTGTTGCTAGACATCATCAAATCAGTTTTGAAAGGGACCCTATGTGACAGAATACAACTGCCCCATAGGGTTTTCTAAGGAGCTCTGGTAGCGTAGTGGTTCCGAATCGGGCTGCGAACCGCAAGGTCAGCAGTTCGAAACTACCAGCTGCTCCGCGGGAGAAAGATGAGGCTTTCTGCTCCTGTAAAGATTTACACCCTCGGAAACCCTGTTCAGGGTCGCTATGGGTCGGAACTGACTCGAAGGCACTTAACAACAACAACATAGGGTTTTCTAGGCTGTAATCTTTATGGGGCATGGTAGATTAGGTGTTGGACTGTCGATTGTAATCTTGGAAACCCCATGGAGCACTTCTACTCTGTCCTATATGTCTGAATAAACTTGATTATAGTTTTTTTTTTTGGTTATTTGAATCTTTATGGGAGCAGATCACCAGGTGGTTTTGAACCGCTAGCCTTTTGGTCAGCAGCTGAGTGCTTAACTGTTGTACCACCAGAGTTCCTTGATTTAACTTTAAGAACCAGATTGAATACAAACAACCAACCAAAGGACTCTGGTAGCACCAACATCTTCTGAGCTTGCTTTCTGGGTTTCCCTGCTCTCAGCTGCCCCCTGCATCCCTGGCATGTCCCTTGTCTACCTCACCTGGCACCTAACTTCCTGACTGCAGCCATTTGGTGGCCCAGCAAGAGAAGGCAGGCAGCTGAGAATGTGAGTTAGAGTGGTTAGGAGTGAAGGGAGCTTTCCTCACTCAGACATTCCCCTGCTCTCAAGCTGCTGTATCTGTCCTCTCCTCTATCCAATGACTTCTACTTCCCTGTGCTCTGCACTCCTTTTCCCTCTTCCGCTTTTCATCTACCAGAAGAGAAAAATCAAGTAAACAGACTAGAAAGATATAGCAGGATGAGTTTGGAGGTGGGACCTGTATTGAGTGACATTTATGGATTGTAGGAAAAACATCACTTCTCATTCATCTCTTTTGCTTACCTTATCTATTCAGAAGATGAACTGAAGGCAGATTTATGGGACAGAACTATCAGATTCTAATTCTGAACATTTGATTTTTCCTTTTAAATGTACCCTAAAGAATTCTCCCACTTCCCCTCTCACCCAATCCTCTTCCATTAAACTCTCTCTTCCTCTGCCCTTCACCATTTATTTCTTAAAACTCACTGCCTCTCACCAGAAGAAACTGACGTGACATGAGAATTGCCACCTGACCCCTGGTCTAAGAGGAGCCCTGGTGGCACAGTGGTTAAGATCTCAGCTGTTAATGTAAAGGTGGGTGGTTGGCACCCACTAGCCACTCCGCAGGAGAAAGATGTGGCAGTTCACTTTTATTTGGAAACCCTAGGGGGCAACTCTACTCTGTCCTATAGTGTTGCTGTGATGTGGGATCCAACTGATGGCAATGGGTTTGGTTTGGGTTTCTTCTAGCCTTAAAGATCCTTGCCGCGCAGACTTCTGACTCTGAGAGAACCCCAACCATCTTATTTCCATAGGAATCTGCTCCCAACACACTGATCTATATACTTTCTGATGCTATCCATCTTTGTTACTGAACTTATCCCTTGGGAGTACTTGTTCCTTCACAATTATTCAGCTCACAGCCTGCTTCCTTTTATAGGTGTTTGTTTTGTTTATTTCAAGCTTCTAGATTTCAGAAGTTTTATTCTTCTATTACGCTCACAATTTACTGACATGTTCCTCTCCAGCTTTTGCCCTAAGTTTCAGGGGACTTTGTGGTACAGCCTCCCCACCATTGATCAGCTTGGAAGCAATGAACTCTTTCTGACCTGGTTACAGAATTGCATCTGTTACCCAGAGGAATGATGTATGCTCCAACTCTGCAGGTTGTCACTTACCACCTTTAGAAGGGCCTTCGGGCATACTTCCTGCGATACATCTCATCTACTCGCTCCAGGTACCAAGTACCTGGGAAAAGGCTGTTTGTGTCACCAGGGGGTGAGAAATTCACTGTGGATTGGAGAGAAGAGGCAATACTCAAAAAGAGCTTTCTGGGAAAAAGAATAACAGGGGCGCTATCATAGTGGTTACAAATCAGGCTGCTAACCTCAGGGTCAGCAGTTCGAAACTACCAGCTGTTCTGCGGGAGAAAGATGAGGCTTTCTGCTTCTGTGAGTTGGAACTGACTCCACAGTACATAACAACAACAACAAGAACAACATCACTTTATGGGGTAGCTCACCAGGTGGTACTGGTAGGGCCTACACCCTCTGTAGAACACTGGACCAGCAGAAGAATCAGGTAAGTCACCACCTTGTATCTGGTCCTTAAGGTTTGGCTATTAACATTTTTATTCTAGCAGTATGACATTTCCCTCTACCTAACATGCCCTTTCTCCGCGCAAATCTTCATCATGCCCTTTTATCAATGATACCTAGGTAGAGGTAGACATCAAAACTTCTACCTTCCTAATGACCCTTTTCTTCCTTGTCCTAAACTGTCTGGCTCCGATTTCATTGTGGCACCTCAGCGCTTTGTCCATTGATGTTCACCTAAGAGATCCTAATTTTCATTTAAATTTTAGTGTTGTAAAATATAGATAAGAAAACATTTGCCATTTTAATCATTTAAGTGGTGAATTTGCTAGCAATAATTATATTGTTCATGTTGTGTTGTTTGTTTGAAAACGTTTTTCAGTAGCTTAAACAAAAACTCAGTATGTCTTAAGTAATAACTCCCTGTTTTCCCCCTTCCCAGACCCTGGATGTTGTTGTTGTTAAGTGCAGTCAAGTCAGTTCCAACTTGTAGTGAACCTGTATAGGGTTTTTGAGGAGCAACTGGTGGGTTTGAACAGCCAGCTTTGTGGTTGTCAGTCCAGTGCTTATCCTACAGTGCCACACCAGGACTCCCAGCCCCTGGTGACCACTAGCTAATGCTTACCTCTATGCATTTTCCTGTTTTAGATATTTTCCATCCATGATGGCACATTACATATATTTCAATATTTGTCCTTTTGAAGCATATCCAGTATCATATCAACATGCAAACCTTCCCCGACAGGTGAGTGGTGGCTGCACATTCTCACTGGCCAGGAATGGAACTTTGGTCACCTGCACCATTGTTAAATGTCATTGAGTCGATTCTGACTCATAGTGATCCTGTATAGGGTTTCCAAGGAGTGACTGGTGAGTTTGAAGTGCCGACCTTGCAGTTCAAACCAACCTTGCAGTCCAGCACATTAACCCACAGCGCCACACCAGGATTCCAGTCTTCTGTATGAAAGGTGGACATCCTACCACTGAGTTCCACTGTCCCCTGGCTCCCCCTGCTGTCACAGAATCTGAGATGAATTGCCTTCTCTTCTGCCTGCCTGTCTACTACTTACCCTTGCGATAAAATTGCTCTCTCTGGTCCATTATTTCTGTGAATTCCTCAGCAGACGCACGCTTTCTAGAGGCAAGGCGGTTTGGCAGGTCTGAGACACTAGACACCAGCTTCTCAAGTGGGGAGCCTGGGAAGGAAAGGTGAGATGCTTAGCTGGTTTCATTGTCATCGCTATCAGTAGGAACTGACTCCATGGCATTTAAAAACAGAAACAACCAGTCACCAATAGCTAAGATCTGTGGGATTTCACACCCTGGAAAAAATGCTTTGTGAGCAGCTTAGAATATCAAGAAATTATAAAAGGTAACAACAATGTTAGCAAAACATCGAGGCAGACACACACATCTAGTCAAGACATATTTCTCATGTGTGTGCTCGACTACATTAATTATAAAATAATCAGCAAATACTTACTGGATATTGTTGTTGTTAAGCATCATCCAGTCAGTTCCAACTCATAGCAACCCTGTATAGGGTTTCTGAGGAGCAGCTTGGTGGGATTACATCACCAACCTTGCAGCTCAAACCTACCTTGCGATCCAGTGCTTATCCTTTAGTGGCACACCAGGACTCCATTAATTAGAAATACTGGATACTTCTAATAAATTTCATCAACTTCTCTTTAATCTGTTTCAACCTAACCAGCCCCTTAATAGATCATCTCTTGCCTGGACTATTTGCTCGTTTCCCTCTACCCACCTTCATTCCTTTCAGTCTAGTCTCTAAATGGTAACCATGGAGATGCTTTTAAAATACCAATTAAGCAAACTTACTCCACTGCTTAAATACCTTCTGTGATTTCCCTGACTTCTAATCACAACAAAATTAATACCTTCAAGATACGTGTCTTTATGGTGGGGAGGCAGCAGGTGGTTTCTTTCATCGGGTGAATCTTGTCAGAAGTGCCTTGATGGGAAGGTGGGACTCACCTGGAGAAGCATTCTGGGATGCACGAAGTGAAAATAAACTTGCTGCCATGCCAGAGCCATAGGAGAAGGCCCCGATCCTGGAGCCAGCCAATTCTTGAGCAGAGTGCCTACAGGGAAACAAATCAAAACAAAACACACAGGCCTTTGATTCGGAACTTCAAATAAGCTGTCAACATATCTGCCCAATCTAGTCTTTGTCTACCTCCTGAAGCTATAAATGATTGGTTTCAGGGTATTCTATGTCTAGAGGGACTTTGGGTCAACCCTGGGGGCAGGCACAGAAGTAGATGACCTAGGCAGGAGGAGAGCAGGAGGAGTCCGAATGAGCACAACAGAATTTTGGGGTACAGATGGACAAGATGAACTCAGTGAACTTTGCCAACACTTCCAAATGGAAGACCCTTATGGCTCTCATGTTGACGATCCTGCTTCCGAAGCCACAGCTTTTCCATCATCTCCCTATCAGTAATAATTTGATCAAGTATGTTGTTGTTGTTATGAAGTGCTGTCGAGTCGATTCCAACCCATAGCGACCCTGTATAGGGTTTCCGAAGAGCAGTTGGTGAGCTTGAACTGCTGACCTTGCAGTTCAAACGACTTTGCAGTCTGGCACCTTAACACACAGCGCCACACCAAGACTCCTTGATCAAATATTGTTGTTGTTGTAAAGTGCCATCGAGTCGGTTCCGACCTGTACAGGGTTTCCGAGGGTGTAAATCTTTACGGGAGTAGAAAGCCGCATCTTTCTCCCACGGAGCGGCTGGTAGTTTCGA